CGGAGAATACAGACCCTCATTGCTACACGGCTTTATTTAATAACTGGGACTCCCATGCTTTAATAACTGGGTCAAGTTGAAATAACATCCTAGGACACTGGGCCCTGAGCCAGGCGACAGAGATGTGGGTCCCTCAGCATTCAATCACGAACACGGGGTGCAGAAGAGCAAGAGGATTAAGGCCTACCCACTGGGCACAGACATGTGCCTCTAGCTTAAATCAAAATTGTAGATAGTTCACCAACCCACAGTAATTCTGCAGGGCTCCAGATCAGTAATTGGTGATCTTTCTGAAATACTCTTCGCTGCCCATCTAGGAGACCCATCTCACTGTAAGAAGATTGTAATAAAAAGAGCTGATATTGACTGTGTGATTACTTTGCACCAGGCACAGCTCTACGTAACTGTAAAAGTGTTAACACTAAACTCTCAAGGCAGTTTGATGAGTTAATTTCTATTATTTTTATCATTTTATCATCTAGCTTTTAAAATGAGGAAAGGAAACTAGGGCTCACAAAGGTTACATAACTTGACCAAGGTTAACTGGTAGTACGTGGCTGTAACTCAAACCTAGGCTAAAGTGTTTCTGTATACTACATAGCACACTGATTTCTCTTGATTGAGTTAACACACACACAGCCTTAGATCTCAACCAGGCACTGTGCCAGACCCTGGAGATACAAATATACTCAGAAACATTTCACTTCTTTTCTAGCTAACATGATAGAAGAGGAGACAGGTATGTAGAAAGAAATATATATTGACACATTTTATTAGCAGCATGAACCAAGTATAATATAATGGAAGAGGTCATTAGACCTGAAAAGTGGTGGAGAGTTATGTGAAAAAGGAAAAGTAGGGTTGAGAAAGGCTTCTTGGAGGAGGTAAAACTTGATCTTGGCCTTGAAGGATGAGCTGGAATTCTTTGGGTTGGAGAGAGAAGAAAATGTGGGGAAGGACATGTGAAGCAGAGGGAACAGAATGACTGAAGCACAGAAGCCTGAAAGTAGAAACGTCTCGGCATGGAAAAGTCCAGTGTTACGAGTGTAAAGTGCCTGACCAGGGCACCGATGTTAGCTAGTATCACACTGGCCAGAAGTCTTAAAAATACAAGAATCTTCATTACAAAAAATGAACCCAAAAAGAAAAAATCATACTCAGAGATGCTAAGAAGAGAGATAATACTCATCATGTCCTGCAACAAGCTTGATGATTGATAAACCAAAAAATTGGAACTTAGTGGTGATAAAAACCTCTGGTACACCAGATAAGCACCAGGGTTAGCTCAGGAGTTCAGTTCACAGAATTTCAGAATGGAACAGCCCCTTATGATGGGCAATTTGCCAGACAATCATAGAAGATGGAGTTCCTGGCCTTGAGAGGTTATTTATAATTCTTTCATTCACCCTTTTAACAACCACTTGTTGATTACCTATGATATGCCAGGCAATGGGACTAGCAATGTATAGGACTCACGTGGTCTCTCCCCTCATTGGGAAGGAGTCGCTATTGAACTTGAAGACAGCAACACAAATAGGTACTTTCAATATAATAAGGTAACTCATATGCACCAAACATGACTAAAAATACAGAGAAGGGGGACTTAACTTACACTGGGCTGATCCTGGGCTTTGGTCTACTGTGGGATCCTTTGACGTGGGTCCACTTATGTAGAAAGGTTCATCTGGCTCTGCACAAAGCACAGGCCTTGCACAGCTAGGCAGGTACAGTCCTGAGCTAGCTCTCAGGAGTATCGGCAACAATGCATGGCACTGCATGGCACACCAACATGGGGCCAAAAAAAAGGTCTAGTTGAATGAAAAATTACGGTAAGGATACAACTGTATCCATATACATTTTTAGACAATATCATATCAATATGAGCTATGTGGTAGCATGTAGGTTTGGGGAGGAAGGTAAAAGTAGATGTACTGTTAAGCTAGAAAGTGAAAGAAAGGGAAGTTGACCATGAATTCAGAAGGGAAGCTTTTGAACATTTTCATTGGCCTTGGAGTAAGACCAACCACCATCCCCTCCCTGAGCTTGTGAGCAAGCTTCACTTTCCTCACCTAGAAGGGTGTTGATAATGGTAAAGGGTGGCAATTATTTGGGGGTTGTAAGTTTATTCATCTACAAAGGGGAAACTATAACATCTTTGACATTACAGAGTGAAAGAAAAAAGTAGGAAAAAGAAGGCAAGGGAGTTAGACGCAAATGAGAGATAAGTGTCACACAGAACCATAGGCAATGTGCTCATCGTCCCTCTTTCCCTTTGTCATCACTAAAGTGAAGATCATAATACCCATTCTAAGGCTGTTATGAAGATTAATTTAGGTAATATACCTAATGTGTATTACCTGTTCCAAACATTCTATGCACTACTCCCTTGTCTTCCATCCAAGAAAACCCGTCACATAAAGATAAGATGAGATCAAAATCCAAATAAAAATGCTTGCAAATGTTACAAGGGAAACACAAATGTGAGGTGGTTAGATACTAGAGAAAGGAGCCCAAGGTTATCCCAGAGAGAAGATCATCAAACCTACGTAGGTTGCTTTGGATTGTCTCTCCTGGAACAGGCCTCCTCCTGCCCCACCATCAAAACCTATTCCAGGGCTTCCCTGGTGGTGCAGTGGTTGAGAGTCTGCCTGCTGATGCAGGGGACACGGTCCGCGAGGATCCCACATGCTGCTGAGCGGCTGGGCTGCTGAGCGGCTGGGCCCATGAGCCATGGCCGCTGAGGCTGCGTGTCCGGAGCCTGTGCTCTGCAACGGGAGAGGCCACAAGAGTGAGAGGGCCGCGTACTGCAAAAAAAAAAAAAAAAACCTATCCCAGCTAGATTCCTAAGAGCAGAGGTGGTCACCCAGGTGGCCTCTCCTTTACCTGACTTAAGCCTATTCCATTTTCTGCACAAAGCTACATTAAGCACATAGCCTCAGCAGCTCCCAGGATAAAACAGAGCATCACTGATCCGTACCTCTGAAAGCTGGGGACAGTCCTTCCCAGTCACTCTTCAGCTTTAGGGGGGTTGGTTGATCTCAGGGACAGCAGACAACCTTATTTAGCCAACCAGCTGCTCTGTGATACACAATGTCCCGAATGCTCAAAGTCTGATGGATGATTCTTTTGTATCCACATAAGCAGCAATGGGAGGAGAATCCATCAGTCTCTTTGGTAGCCTTAGGGTGTCAAGGCTGCCATTCAAATCATTCCTACCATAATTATTAACCACTGTTTTAATAAGATATCTGCCAGGCAATTCTTTTTCTTTCTTTCTTCCTTTCTTTCTTTCTTCCTTCCTTCCTTTCTTTCTTTCTTTCTTTCTTTCTTCCTTCCTTTCTTTCTTCCTTCCTTCCTTTTTCTTTTTTTCTTTCTTTCTTTCTTTCTTTCCTTTCTTTCTTTCTTTCTTTCTCTCTCTCTTCCTTTTTTTTTCTTTAATCATTAAAAAACTATCAAATTTCACTGGAGCAACACTTGCCTCAAGTCACATCAACAAGTTGTTTAAAACCCCTTCTGTCTGCCCAGTTCAACAGGAAGTCATGGAGAAGGGAATACTTAAAATACTCTGATTTTAAAGAATTGATAACGCTGTGGGGAAGAGGTCTACACAAAAAATAATCATAGGGAAGAGTTACACAGTATATTATACAGTACACTGCTACAGAGGGTCAGAGTGGTAATTTTATTTCCTGGATGTTATTACTATGGGGATGCAATGGAGGAAGTGCCATGGGTAGAGGATTTGGAGGAGTGGAATATTGCGGTGGGAAATTGCTTTGTTTTCCACAGCGTAAGAGAAAAACAACCAAGGGAGCGGACAGGATATGCACGCCATCAGAGTAATCACCAGAGCATGACTTTTTGACAAGAGTTTTCATCGTTTAGGGTAAATGTTAAAGGTAGTTCTAAAAGGGCTTTTGCTTTAGCATGAATGATGTGGCCTGTGTGATTTGGTGAGCTATTCAAAGGCCTTGTCCATATTGTGCCTTGGAGCCACACTTTGAACCCATTTTTCAAGCAAGCTAAACCCAAACTGAGCAGAGGATTGCACAGGGCGAGATCACTAACCAGGCCCAGTGACTGTGCAGGAAGGGACATCTTGGATACTTCTGCTATCGTTTGTGACCATGCCTGATCGCCCCTAGGGTTCCAGAATTAACCACATCTCAAAGTGTTTACCACCGCGAGGGGAACTTGTTTGAGTAATCCCGTTCAAAGGTTGAAAACACTATAGAACAAGGCGAGAAAAAGAGCTGAGAACCCGAGAGCCGCTAGGAAAACAAAAGCAGTTGGGGGCAGGTGAACCGAGGAGCGCCCACGACAGGCGAGGGGAAGTTCCCTGCAGACAGGCGCCCGCCACCTGTCTGCCCTCGGAGCGGTGCCCCCGGCTCGCTGCTCGCTGGGGGAAGCGTAGGGACGCCCCCACGCGGTGTGAGCTCCTGCGGCATGCGGCGGAGCTTCGGCGGAAACGGGCCGAAGTGAGAGGCGTGGAGGCGTCAAGGTCCAATCGCGCAGGAGAACGTCGGACCCCAGGAGAGGCGAGTGATCCTGGGCTCGAGAGGGGCCGGGACTCCGCGGTCCGGCTGAGCAGCGCCTGGGGCGGTAGTTCCTGAAGCGTGAGGATGGGAGTGAAAGCAGGAGAGGACGAATGGAGGGAGGACAGTGGGGCCCACGGCGGTGCGGGAGGCAAAAAGGGAACAGCAGACAGGGACAGGGGAAATGAGGCCCCGGTGAGCGTGGCAATACGCGCTCAGCCTCGGGGACACTGACAGGAGGGCGGGGGACTGGGGCGGCAGGGCGTGACCGGGAAGCCCGGCGCGCGCCACCGCCGGGGAGCTGGCGGGAGTGGGAACTCGAGGCCGCGCGAGTCGTGAGGGCGACGCGTTAACAGCAGTCGCGGCGGGGCGGGGACGAGGCCGAGCGCGCGTGCGCGGCCCGCGCGGGAGGGGGAGCGGGTGTGGGGCGGCGGGAGCGCGCCTGCGCGCGGCCAAGCCGCCTGGGCGCCCGGTCCTGACTGTGACGGAAGGCGGCGGTCGGTCCTCTCTGTAACGGCGGCGGCGCCTGCTCCAGACACCTGCGGCGGCGGCGACCCCGCGGCGGGGGCGGAGATGTGGCCCCTGGTGGTGTTGCTGCTGCTGGGCACGGCGCGCTGCGGTGAGTGGTCACTCGCTCTTGGCTCTGCGGCTAGTGTCTCGCCGCCCCCGCGGGTGTGTGGGCTGCGCCCCCTCTGGCCCGGCGGCTCCCTGGAGAGGGTAGCTAGGGCGCGGGGCACGCGGGCCCTGCACGCCCGGGGTGCGGACGTGGGAGGGCCCCACGGGTAATCTGCGCCCCCTTCTTTGCTTCCTTTGCCTCCTCTTCCTCTTCCTCTGGGTGAGAGCGGGGCTCATCTTCCCCTGTACTCCACCTCCAGATGCACACACTGAGGAAGACTCCAAACCGTGCATCTCGCGCAAAAATCAGCTGTAGAGAGAAAGGGCGCGATCAGAGGAGAGGGGTTGGCAGCTGTTAGGGTCCCCCCTCTTTCGCACCCTCCTCAGTGCTTTAAACGCATTTGGGGTTGAAGGAGGGAGAGTGGGAGGGCCCGAGCCTCATGCGATGCAAGTGCGCATTTTGGCGAAGTCTGAAAGAAGGGGTTTCTCCTGTTTGCCCTCCCACCTGAACATAGGAGTTAAGGGGACGTAAAGGACAAAGTTTCATTTCCAGCCCAGCGTTTGATAAGATTCTTCTGGCTGCCTTTTTTTTTTTTTTTTTTTTAATACCCTAGATATAAGCTTCCTGGATGGAAACTCTTTCTCGCTACTCCCACGCCCCATCAACCACTTTAATACAGTCCGAATTGCACGTTCAAGTTTTCCTACTTTTTTTTAGGGGAACCATTTTAAAAGTAATCCAGATTTCGCTTGAAGTATGAAGACAGTAACCTCTAGTCAAAGCATATTTGCGTCAGAGTGAGGTTTAGTGTCTTTCTACGCCAAAGGCGTTTTGGCCCCCCAAGCTTTTGGAATCCATTTCTCTTTTTTAAAACGTGTGCTTCGTCTATAACAACTGAGGAAGGAATGGGAATTTTCGTGGCTCTACAGTGCCTGTCACACTTCACATCTATAGAGCCTCTTGTGAACTTTTTGTAAAATTCAGAATTGAGTTGGAGTAACAGTAACAAGCAGTTGTTACATTTTATTCTAGAATGCTAAGTTAATTACATTTTAAACGGGTTATTAGCCTCACTGTGCCATTCATAAAGGCTTGTGACTTCAAGCTATTTCCGAAATGCCCTTAAGTCCCGGCTTAGCTCTCTTTCCTCACTCTGAAGCCGCCTGGGATGTTGGAGCTGCTAATAATCTCTGTTATTTGAAGGGTTGATATTAGGTAAGGTAGTGTTTTCTGTTATCATTCTTAACGGCTTACTGCCCATTACTATCATTATAGCTCAAGTAATACTGCTTTCAGAAACCTGTTGTATGATCAGAAAGCCTTATATTGAACCCGATTATGAATTTGTAATAAAATATTACTAATTCAGACCGTTGGTCTCAAAGCTAGTTTGAAGCGTAAAAAGTGTAAATCATGTACTGTTTTAAAAACGGGGTCCTATTTTCAAGTAGATTAGAAAGAAGCGCTAGAATGGTACTTTTGGGGATAGAAATGGTTAGGCCTCTTTTAGTAATAGGTATGATCACATATAATTAGCACTCATTTACATACAATAGTAGTGTGCTCAAGTCCCTACAGTCTTAGAATTCAGAATTTATGGTATTTCATTGTATTTAGTTAATAATAACCTGAAAAAAAACCAAAACAGAGGCATTATGCATTTGAGTTAAGTGTTGAATATAAAACAGGAAGGGATAGTGTTTGTCATAGGATATAATGGATTTTTGTGCATGTGTGTTTAATATGTAGTTTTAAAAGAACATGTATGAAGAGATGTTAACAGTCTCAGAACACAAGTAGTTATAAACCAAAGTATTTGGGAGACTGAAATTAGATTCTAAAATGAGTAAGGAAGTCATGGATTTGTATGTTTATTTGTACTCAGGTTTGATTTGCTTTCATTTTCATTTATAAATGATTGTTAATGAAAGGCTACTTCCTGGTAACCACTACAGTTTCTGTTGATCTTTGTAGTAAAGGAAATTGTCTAAAATGCCCATTCCTTCTAATTATAGGAAAAATACAACATCCTTTATTGGTTTACAAGATGTAGAATGAGTTACTATTCTCCTTTCCTCCCCCCTCCCCCATATGTCCAATTATACATTGTTTAAAAGCACATCAGCAGTTTCAGTGGTATTCACTAACTGGTAAATAAAACGCTACTCATGTAAGGACAGTGATATGAACTGTCTTATTAGTGGTTGAATGATTTTTCTTTGTTCAAAGTGAGTTTTTAAAATCAAAGGTACACATGATTAAAAAAAACGTTTTTATTGTGTAAGTCTAGTAGTCATTTGGCTTGCTTAAACAAAAATGTTTTCTTCTCTCCTAAAGAATATATTACTTTTAACCACAATTTGCCATTTTAAGGAAGTAAATGCCTATTTAAAAGTACTTATTTCCGGGGCTGCCCAGCAGTCTAGAGGCAGTATGCTAAAGCATTACACTAAATGCCTACCATTAGGACATTTGCTCATGCTGTCATCTGTATTTTGGCAGATGTTTTATCTTTGCCACTGAATTGTTAATGGAGATTTGAAAGGCCAGGTTCTAAAGATGAAAAATAGGTGGTTTTCCCAACATTGATAAACATTCTAAATCCAAAATGCATTATTAAAACTAAGTTTGCATTCCTTGATGTTAATTCAACTCTAGCTACTATACATTTATGTTCTTTTCGTGATGTAATTTTCATATAACCATTTTACCCATCTTTTAGGTTTTTTGCTGTCATACCTTTTTATACAAGAGAAAATTTTTTTCTCTTTTTATACAAGAGAAAAATTTCTCTATTTTTATATCTTGTGCCTCAGCCTAATATAATGCACTCTTGGGTTGTGATAAAGCAACTTTCACTTTGTGTACTAGTGCCGATATTTCTTCTATGATAAAAGAACAAGAAGGATAGTGTAGGATCAATTTTGCTAAACTCATTGTAGTAATAAAGTAAAAAATATATAGAGCACCCAGGAAATTTGATTCTGATATACCTAGACTAAGACAATAGAACCTGAATTTTCCTTCTTTGTGGCTACATGGAGTTGCAACAGGAATTAGAAGTTACACCCTGCTCTGAATATTTTATTCCATCTCCATGGAGCAGTTGTATAAGACTTAGAATCTGGTCAATCCCAGGGTTTAAGATTTAGATTAGGAGAATAAGTGCATATTTGAATACATGTCACACTTATAGGTTAAAAAGCAAGGCAAGGGATTTGGCAAGTGCAGGGTCTATCAAAATTGCTTTTCCTGTTTCATGCAAGTATGAGCCCATGTTATGCTCTAAGCATTTTGGAAGGCCCTCTTGGACATACAGACAAATTTCGGACTGTATGCCTCTTAATAACTTAAAGTGTAGTTTATGAAGAGAAGGGATTTTTTGTTTTTATACCGCAGTAATACTTAATATATTTTAAGTACTTGATAAGGCTGTAATTCTGGATGTTACTGACTTTAAACTGCCCCGGGCCTTATAATTCTAGGTTGACCATTTCTGTTCCTATGAGGCCACTTTAAAACCGAGTGGGAGATTAGTTTGAGTTAGAACTAAACAGGTGTGGACACCTCCATTTTACCCCAGACTTTATTTAGTTTCTGTTGAGGAGATATCTGGCTAAATCCTCCTTTGACCCTAATTCTAACCCAGTTCAGTTTGAGACTCCAGTTCTTCCTACCAGAGACCAAGCCTGATGGCAAATATTAGTAGGATTCATTTCTTGCAGGTGTCTTTACTCAACAAGCTTTGCTTCATTCACCTTAGTGACTGCTGGGGCTTCTTACCCCAATCCTGAACATCCATTCCAAGCAAATAATTAACTTCCTACTCTACTGCAAAAAATAGTGATGTGTGGTGTGGACTCTCTCAACTTCCCACCCACCATTACTAAACTTGTCTATAATATCTTAGGCAACGTTCATCTCATTCTCCCCCTTCACCCAGCGTCAGAAGTGTTCCTATTCACTTTCCAAGGAAAGGATCCCCTGTCTACAGCTCTTTCACTTCCACCATCTCGGAGACCTGCCTAATCACCTTAATCCTTAAGCTTTGAACCTTAGATCTTTCCTTCTTCATTGATTCCTTCATCTTAGCTAGCAGACATGCTCAAGTTTCACCCCATATTAAAAACATACAAGAAGAACAACCAAAAAAAACCTTGGCCTTGTCCTGGGCTCCACGCTCTTTCCATTATTGCCTTCTTTCTCTGCTTTCTTATACTGCCGAGTCCCTAGTCTGCTGACATTGCTGCAGGTAAAGAAGCTAATGGTGAAATTTTAAATCTCTAGAGGCTGTTTTTACTCATCCTGCTTGACATCTGTTTTGTCCATATTAAGACCCTTGGTGTCTGCAGTGGCATTCTTTGCTGCCTCACCTACTTCTATCACTTCTTTTTCTCACATCGTTGGTTTGCTCCTCTTTAACTATTTGCTCCATAAATATTGGTATTCCCCAACACTTTATTCTCTGGTACCTGCTCTGTTTGCTGTGCAAGGACTCTCTGGGTGATCTTGTTTATGCTCACAGTTTCAATTACCACCTATATTCTTGGTAATTCCCAAGTCTTTGTAGCTCAGACTTTTCTTCTTAAATCCAGATTGATGTATCCTGGGATCTACTGGACATCTCCATTTCATTGCACCACAGGTACTTTTAATACTCAGCCTATTAAATATTGAAAGAACATTCACCCCTAAATCTCTTAAATCTCTTTTCTCTATAGTTAATCCACAGTCTAACTAGTTATGCATACTACTGATATTTTAGCTAGCAACTTTATTTTTATTTTATTTTACTTTTTAATTTTTTTAACAACTATATTGGAGTATAATTGCTTCATAATGGTGTGTTAGTTTCTGCTGTATAACAAAGTGAATCAGCTGTACATATACATAATCCCCATATCCCCTCCCTCTTGCGTCTCCCTCCCACCCTCCCTATCACACCCGTCTAGGTGGTCACAAAGCACGTCTAGGTGGTCACAAAGCACGGAGCTGATCTCCCT